AGCACATTGTAGACAATATAGACTAGACAGGACCTAGCAGAGGTCATATTGGAAATGCTCTTCTCGAAGGATACCTTTTTCTTCCTTTGGTAAAGTTTGCTTGCTGTTGATGTCTTACTTTTTAATATGGATTTAGAGAGCTTTGGGGGATTTTGTAGGCAAAAAAATTCTGCCCAAAACTATTGTCAATACCAGGTTCATTTTTTGGTAGGCTAGCTGCCCAGTGTTTCAGTCTTAAACTCTGGAATCTTGTTGTAGAATGTGCTGTATTTTAAACAAACAAAAATACTCGGCACCTTGTTGTTCCTTGCAAGTGGCTAGTGTGGGTTAATTTGTCAGAGGCTAGCCTGTAATCACATCCCTTATGTATTTTTATATATTTTTCTCATAGACGTGTCCATATACCATATTGACTAGGTGCCATCTTACTACATAACTTTGGTTCTGCACGTTGCAGTATTTGCAGGGCCAGGTCTGCTCTGAGTGCTTAATTACTATTCTCCACCCTTTTGTTCCTTACAGGTAACGGCAAACTTGCCAGCATGCCAGTTGGTGGAGCTGTAGCAGTCTCAGCTGGACCAGGTTCTGCTGCTCCTGCTGCTGCACCTGCTGCTGGTGAGTATACATTAAAATCTTAGTGCCTTAATTCCCATCATGTAAATTTAGGAAGCTTTTCCTTCTTTTATTGTAGTTTGGCTTCTTGTCCTGAGATTGAAATATTGACTGACATAGTTTAGTGCCGAAGACAATCTCTGCACTGTACCTGGGAATGAACTGTTAAAGTGGTGTACAGAGAAGGCGGTTAGTTAAAGCCAGCCAATCAGTAAGAGTTATACACAGTTGCTTGCTCCTCACCTTCATTAATTTGTTCTGGTTTAAGTCTATAGAGCCAAAATGGACCCTCAGGTATGTGTATGCAACTCCTGTGGATGTAATTGAGAGTTGTGCATGTCTCTGAAGGCAAAATTTGGCACTTTATCTTTAAACGTATAGGTTAAAAAGAAACTGAATCTGTTAGCACTGCACAGAGTAGATATGGAGACTGAAACTTAAAGGGGTGACTTGTGTTCATTTAATTGGAAGATATGCTTCCATGAAGAGAGCGTGTTTTGGGATCTCCTCACACCTGCAATGTCCAAAATGTACTGTAAATATTCCCAGATGAGTAAACACTGTTTAAAACTTTTCTCTCTGCAGCTGAGGAGAAGAAAGAAGAGAAGAAGGAGGAGTCTGAGGAATCTGATGATGACATGGGATTTGGCCTATTTGACTAAACTTTTGT